AATGAAGATGAGGTTCTCCTTAGGAGTGACGAGGCTGGATAAGATTAGGAATGAGATCATCAGAGGTACAGCACAGGTTGAACAACTGGGAGATAAAGTTAGAGACCAGACTGAGATGGTTTGGACATGTCCAGAGGAGGGACCGTGGGTATATTGGTAGAAGGATGTTAGAAATGCAGCTGCCAGGAAAAAGACAAAGAGGCGATATATGGATGCAGTTAGAGAGGACATGAAGGTAGTTGGAGTGAGGACAGTGGATGCAGAGGACAGAGTGAGGTGGAGGAGGATGACTCGCTGTGGAGACCCCTGAAGAAGGAAAAGCCGAAAAAAGAAGAATCAGTGAAAGTCATAATGTTAATAATAACACAATACTGCACAAAAAACTGATAAAAAGGTTGAGATGAAACATGGCCTTCATTTTCCAATTTGTAACCTTCACAAAGAATAAATATCATCCAAGTCCAGAGGACCAGACTTAACTGTTTTAGATTTTTCTACCTGGATTATTGAGCATGCATCAGGATATCATCCCAACAGTGCTTAAGATTTTGTCTTTATCTCACAATTTTTTCACTTATATCCATGTTAGGCTGAGGATTTTCCAGCAGTTCACTAAAGACTAATCTGCTGCTAACATTATAACTACAGTGTGGGAAAAAATATAGTTCTTTCTTTTTTATTTATTGAATGATTCAATCTTGTTTTTTGTTTTTTTGGCTATCTGCAGTGCACAATACAATTACTTTAACTTAGTTTTAATGTGCAAAAGCTAAACATTCATCAAATCAGATTAAACTTTTTTAAAGTTTTAGGTTTCTTTTAGAGTCGGCACAGAATTAGAATGAAACAAGAAGGCACAGTGATGGTTTTACATGACACCACGTATTAGTACTGTTGCACTAATCAGTCAACAGAGAGCCAAACATGTTTTATTGTTAGTTCATTATTCTGTTTAAATTTATCCTACAGGGCCTTAAATGATCTTTCCAGAACATTCAGTTTGTTTCAGTTTGATCAATGTGCTGGCTATAAGATCCATAGGAGCTTTTAAAGTTCACAAAGACACGTGTATGTATGTAATGTGGAATTTAAATCAAATCACAATCATATATATTTTGTTGTTCAACTAAAAATGAATAAAAATAATATAAATAGCAGAACTTTTGTTTTAATACCACTTTTTATCTTGTATTGGGGCCTCGTCTTGTTAAATACAAACTTCTGTTAAAGTTTTACTTAGCAAAAAAATCTGCCTTATTTTAATGATTGCTTGAGGAGAGTGGACTAACCTGGGAAAAGGGATATTAGCAAGAACAATTTCCCTAAGAAAGGAGCCTATATATTAAATATGTGAGTTCAAAAAGTCAGGGTTTCATGGCATGTTTCATAAAAATCTAACTTTCTACTGCAGTCAAGAAGCTGCACATCTACAGAAAGAGCATTGTCATTTTCTATAAATAAATAAATAAATAAAAAACAAACAAACAAAAACAAATAGACCTAAACAGATTGAATATGTGTACTTTCCTTTATAATAAAACAATTCACTTGAAGCTAGTCGTAAATCAGAAACTAGAAGCCATTTATTTAGACTTTCACTGATTTAATGATCATGTTTAAAAATACGATCAAGGCTGACATCTAGTGGACAGTCTGTGGAATTACACAAATGAACAAGTCTCCCACAGGACACAGGCAGCAGAAATGAAGAGTTTGATTACAGTGAAATAAATTTGAAAAACAATTTGAAAAAGTTCATGATTTTTATTCTCAGCATACATATGATTCAATATTACTCAAGTATTTTCAAGTCTTTTGTTACTCAATAAATCATGTATATTACTTTGTTTTACGGCACCCTGATTTATTGTTTTATATCACTACTTTTCTTTTAACTGCATTTGACTGTAGTTTATTGTCATTATTGTCTGTACTTTATATATTCTGTCTGTAACGGGTCTCATAAATGAGTCCTTGTGGCTTAGTGAGACTAGCCTGTATAAATAAAGATTGAATGAAAAATAGCATAATCTGAGTGTATTCGTTAGCTTTACAAATATCTCTAGCATAGAACATAAAACAAGACAGTTTCACAATAATATTCAGTATAGCATTTTTTAAAATTTTGTTTGTTTTGTTTTAATTTTCTTTGCATTGGCAAGTGGATCAATATGTTCCTGATAAGTTGACATTTTAATCATTAAATGTATCAATTGTAATTAAACAAAAACCTGAGAAACAGTCAAAAAATCACCTTTTACGTGACTTGTTTATAAGAAAAATTTTAAAGAGACATTGCAACTAATTTCCATATGCAGTACTTTAACAGTAATGCAAATGTTGCCTTTAATTGTTGCACTAGAACACAGTTGTTTGGTCTGTGTGTGCAAAAGTTACCTACCTGCCAGTTTGAGTTTGGAAATATAAAGTTTAATTTGAACCAGACTGATCACATTTAAAAACTGCATCAGTCTCAAACATTTGCAACAGTTTGTCTTTTTTTTTTTTTCATTATAGCCAATTTCTCATTAGTCATTTTGGGCTAATTTCCCCCCAATTTGGCCTCCAGTTCTAACCTGGTGTTATTTTTGAGCAGGACCTGTCTTTTATCCCCCACATTAAAAAAGTTACCAGGACTACTTTCTTCCAGCTGCATAATATCTCTAAAATTAGAAACATCTTATCTAAAAACGATGCAGAAAAACTGGTTTATGCATTTGTCACATCTAGACTGGACTATTGCAATGGTTTGTTATCTGGGTGTCCATTACTTCTTTAAAACGTCTTCAGTTGATCCAAAATGCTGCTGCCAGAGTCTTAACTGGAGTTAGTGGGAGAGATCATCTCTCCAGTTTTAGTTTCTCTCCATTGGCTCCCTGTCAAGTCCAGAATTCAAAATCTTACTTCTAACCTACAAAACTCTCAACAACCTAGCTCCATCTTATATTTGAGATCTTGTTGTTCCATATTTTCCTAACAGATTACTTCGCTGACAGACTACAGGTTTACTTGTGGTTCATAGAGTTTCCAAAAGCAGAACGAGAGGCAGAGCTTTCACTTATCAGGTTTATTTCTGTTTCTGTCTGTGAGGCTGGTTTTCATTCCTTATCTTATGACGCTATAACCTTAGACTATCGGAGGACAAAATGACCTCGTCTGTCTTTACGCTTGCTCCGAATGGGAGACTGTGACGAAGTGAAGATTCAACGCTATCTGCTGCTTCCTTAGAAAGAGAACAATTACTAAGTGGTCTTTAAAATGTGTGTGAATGTTTCTGTTCAGTGCCCTGAGACAACTTGTGTTGTGACCTAACGCTATATAAATAAACTGAATTGAACTGAATTTATTACTAAGAGTAATAAAAGTGATTTTAAGAAGCCGCCTCATCTGACTTCAGTACAGTCTGATGCACTTGCTGCAGAAATGTAACAATATGTTGGTCAAACAGAGTAATTCCAAACTGAGTTGTTGTAAAAAGTTTAAGATTAGAGTTGTTGCATGAGTCTCATTTATGTGTTTATTAGACTGACTGTAATTCACCAATGACTATTTTCTTAATTCTGTTCAGTGCATTTATCCCACAGCTGATGAGAACTAATGTAACGAACATAAATCTGTATTCACATTCATATTCTGTAAACATGTATTTATCTTCACCTCAATTTTATTTATTTATTTTCTAAACAAAACACGTAAAAAAAAAAGTATTTGAAGAGAAACCTGTAAATCAACATTAATCAGGTGCAAATATAAAGTTGAACAGTAGGGGGCAGTATTGCATGGGAAATCAATGGTTCCTCAAGTTTTCAACTCAAGAGGCTCCAAAATAAAAGTTGCAGAGGCCCATGACCCCAAAATACTACGAGTTCATTTATGCAAATGCTGATAATAATCCTACCCAAAAAACCATATATTTCTGTTTTAATTAAATTATTAGGATTTGATTTACGTTTTATAATAGTTCTGATTAAATATTCTATTTTCATGTTTTATTTAATTTTCATTTCTGGAGATCATCTGGCAACCCTCACATTTAATGACCCACCAGGGTCCCAACCCCAACTTTACTGCACCATCCTGTCATGACGTCAGCTGGAAACTTTCTGGCATTCATACAGAATATGGTATAAATGATATAGAAGTATTTATACACAATATAAACTGAGCTACATCCCATGATGAGACGTGTTCACTTGCCCCAGACACAAAAATGCTATTTTATTTGCTGAAGTAGTAAAATCATGCAAATATGTTACTAAATTAACATGTAGCCACTAAATTATCAATGACATAATCCTGATTTAAAAATTAGGATGTAAAACTATGAAAGAAAATATTAGAAGAATAAAGCCAAGGCTGGTGTTTGTAAAAGAGCACATGAAGAGACAATAAGAGCTTGAACTGTAAAAGTGTGTTTATTTTTAGCCCTTGCACGTGTGTGTTGCATTTCATCAGAAGCTTACGATTCATTTTCAAGTAAAGCAGTTTAATCCTCGCTAACAGTGTATTCTTCATTCTGAAAAACATTCTCTCCAAAACTAAATTCATCTTTTTATCTAAACATGTGGATATATAAAATAATATGATATTTGATTAACAAAGTATAACATATTTAAGTAATTCTGCACATAAACAACCTGTAGTTTTGGTACCTGATTTTCTTTTTTTCTAGCATTTCTCATGCAAAACCTTCACAAATAACATGACTGATCTGCAGGCACATCCCACAATGCATAGCGACATTTTTGGCATCTCTGTATTCTGTATATACAAAATGAAGGGGGGAAAAAAAAACATGTCAATGCAACCCTGATCAGAGTACAGTCGTTAAGATCAAAATAATTACACATGAGACACTTATGTACAGAATGGGTCCTGCCCACAGCGAGCAGACAGACAGTCCTGTCAAGGCACTCACCAATAATCAATAACTTATTCAAAAGGTGAGGTTTTAAATACTACTATAACTTAGCCAGTGTTCTTTTCTTTTTTTTTTTTTCTTTTTTTTTTTTTTACAAATATGTACAAAAACACCATCAGAGGCACTGAACAGTAGAAAAAATGAGGCACTTTAAAAAAAAGCTTTCCCAAAGAAATATTCTATTGCTTCTCAGAGTTCACTGTTTGCATTTACTGGTGGGACTCTGGAGTCAGTGAGACCCTGATGGATGGAGGAAGTGTCCATGGGGGGGAAGGGGGGGGGGGGGTGCTACATGTGCCTCTTCATGTGCAGAGCCAGGTGGTCTGAGCGGGAGAAGGCGCGCTCGCACAGGTGGCACTGGAAGGGTCTGTGTCCCGTGTGCTTCCTGAAGTGGCGCGTGAGCTCATCGGATCGGGCGAACTTCCAGCCGCAGCCCTCCCAGTTGCAGTGGTACGGCTTCTCACCTGAGAGACAAAAACACAGCGGGTTAACACCTGAGCAGCGCGCGCGCGTGCAGTGGGGAGCGCGAGCGGAGGCAGCGCTCTTCTCACCTGTGTGCGTCCTCATGTGGGCTTTGAGGTGGGAGCTCTTCGTGTACGTCTTCCCGCAGCCGGGGAACTCGCAGTTGTGCGTGGCTGCGCGTTTTCGTGTCCACGACTTGCGGCCTCGCTTCTGCTTGGCGCACCCTGCCTCGTCGTGCGCGTAAAACTCCAGCAGCGGCGAGGAAGGGGGCGTGAGCATCATTCCGTGCACAGCGGCGGCATGCTGCTGCTGCTGCTGGTGGATGTGCTCTCTGTGCACGCCGTACTGTCCTTGAAACTGCGCGTACTGAGGGGGGTACGGCGCGCTCACGTACTGGTTCGGAAGATGGGGGTTGTGAAGGTGATGGGTTGAGTTCACTTGCGCCATATTGCAGCCTGCGCGTCCCTGGTGATTAGGGTGCGCGCCGAAGCCGTGCAGCGCACCTGGACCTGAGCCCTGCTGGTGCGTAAAAGCCGCCGACTGCACGGAGCGCATCTGCTCAACAAAGTTCCTGGCAGCCATCATGCAAGACTGGACTCCAAACTCGGCTTTGACCTTGCATCCCAGCGTGGGTGCTGCAGCCGGAGCTGCGAGGGGGTTCAGAGCCCGCAGCTCCGTGTACTCACAGCGCTCCCTCATTTTGGCCGCCCCCTCCGAGGGGCTTTCCTCCAGGTAGCTCATCTCAGGGGTGAGGAGCTCCGCCATCAGGCTGCGCACCGGGCTGGCCTCGGTGAAGCAGTGGTAGCCCTGCGCCGCCAGGTGAGCGCCATCAGCAGCTGAGGGGTGTTCCGTGGAGTCTGGAACCGAACCACCGCTGCAGCTCTCCGGAGACTCCGGGAGGGAGTACGCGCTCTGCTGCTGGGAAAGAGAGCCCTCCCCGCTGTCATTGCTGCCCACATCAGCTCCGAGGGTGTTGGACAAAATGAACTCCAGGTCCAGAAACTTCCCAAGCTCGTCCTCCTCTCTGGGGGGTCCAGACGGAGACTGGACGATGCTGAACTCCACCTCGATGCGCGAGCTGTCTTGGACACTTGTTGCGCCGCTCCGCGCGCACTCATCCATGCTACAAAGCTGCACAAGTAGAATAAATGTTAGAGAGCTAATCTTCTAATCATCAATCACACATATTAGAACAAGTATTATTATTATTGATTATAAATAAATTCAATCTACTTACATTATTCATCGCTTTGACGCTCGGGAACGATGTCAGACCAGGCAGAAGCGCTTCAGCCACAGCCATGACAGCGTCCACACACTGGCTTTGACTCTTATTAAAGCTTCGATGTAAACTCCAAACTGTGCCAGAAGCTGCGCTTTGTGTCCATACAGAGCAGCTCGGGCGCGCGCAGCTCGACGGTGCTCTAGGACTCGGGATGCGAGTTTCTTCAGACTTTTATAGCTGAGGGGGGGGGGGGGGGGGGGCGTGGCTTGCGCTGCTTCCAAACACGCACACCCATGCGCACGTGCAGTGTGCGCTACCTGCCTTTGTTTGCTGCGGGATTCCATCAACAGGTGAGAGGCAGAAATGAACGAGGACGCACAGATATGTGCATGTCCACCGTGAGTGGAGAGCGTGCACGTGCTTGGAGAGAGCACAGATGCTTGAAATTGTTTCGAAAGAAGAATGTATGCGCCTGAAGTCACGTTTAAGCCCCCCCCCCCCCCCCCCCCCCCCCCCCCCCACACACACACACACACACACACACACACACAGTTGAAGTGAATTGGAGTTTGAACACCCCCAGTCAGTTTCGTCCCAGTCACTGTAAACATCATTAATGTGCCGTGAACTCACCACGAGGACCTGCTCTGTTCAACACAATGTGTGAAGTGGGGGTTCCTCATCCAGACTACCTGTTAATCCTGCAGGAAACAAAACACTGACAGGTTTCAGAAGACACCCCCTCTAGCTAAATTTAAAATTTTACTTTTATGCACTGTTTTACTTGTTGTTTGAAAAATATTAACAATATAAACATTAGAAGAAAAGAAAATAATCCTAATATTAGAATTATACGATTCATGTCAAGTAGTGGTTTATCTTAAAATACTACTTCCAGATACAAAGTTTTAAATTGTGCTTCAAGCATCCTTTTATTATCTGCCAATAATAGTGGGCGATCATGTGTGTTTGTTTGTTTGTTTTTCAGCAAAAAAATCTCATTAACCACAAGAGAAATTTGACTGAAACACTCTGGCAGTAATCAGTGGATGGACATCTACTGATTCACCTTTGGAGTCAAAATTCAAGATGGCCTCCACAGCTAATGAACCTTGGTAAACACAATCAGCTACAACTTTTAAATCTTCAGTTAAACTTTAGTGTGGTAGTAGATGATGCTAATCCCCAACACATATTCTAAGCACTAATAAATTGCTCTAAATCTTTGTTTAAAACAAAGTGGCAGACTAAATATATTCATTTAAGGAACACTTCTTTCATCAGTCTTTAATTTAATACATCATTCTTCATCTATATATTTATGTCAGCACAACTTTTGACCTCAAAATTTAGCAAAGCGTAGTTTTGGCCAATATTAGTGCCAAAAAAATTGTAACGTAAATTATCGGCAGTCAGTATATTATAATCTAAAAAAGTTAAATCTGGTCCTCTGGACATTCAAAAAACAAAACAAAGCAAAACAAAAAACAAAACAAAGCAAAAAAATTGTAGAAACGTTTCGTCTCTCATCCGAGAGACTTCCTCAGTCTGAGGTGCTGTTTTCAGCTCAGTCTCTTAAATAGCACCTTCTCAGAGTGGATCAACCAGTTTGCTGCTGACAACCAAAACCAGCTGATCACATGATCAAGAAGGACCATCAGCCTAACAATGGATCATTAGCACACTGATGGCTGTTTACTATTCACAGAGGGCTGAGTGATACTAGCAATCACAGCATTGTAAGAGGGGGACAGTTGAACCCGGAGGCCTCCACCCCTTTTTAACGATGGACGGTTTCTTTTCACAAAGATGGCCTCCTTTACTCCTCTCTCAAACCATCGTTGCTCTCTGTCCAGGATGTGAACATCTTCATCCTTGAAAGAGTGACCACTGGCCTGGAGATGAGTGTAGACCGCAGAGTCCTGGCCTGATGATGTTGATCTTCTGTGCTGGTTCATCCTTTTGGCCAGTGGCTGTTTTGTTTCCCCGATGTAAGACTGATCACCCTCCTGACACTGAACAGCATACACAACATTACTCTGTTTGTGCCGGGGGACTGGATCTTTGGGATGAACCAGCCTTTGCCGTAATGTATTTTGGGGTTTAAAAGCCACTGGGACGTTATGTTTAGAAAATAAACGTCTCAGTTTCTCTGATACTCCCTCAACATATGGAATGACCACTGGTCTGGGTCTGGGTTCCTCCTTTTCACCTGTTGGCTGACTGGAGTCCTGTTTGGGTTTCTTCTCTGCTTTCAGGAAGGCCCAGTTAGGATATCCACATTGCTCTAGAGCCTGTCTTGTGTGGGATTTCTCCTTCTGCCTGGCTCCTGAGCTAGTGGGGGCGCAGTCTGCTCTGTGATACAGAGTCCTGATGACTCCTAACTTGTGCTCCAAAGGGTGATGGGAGTCAAACTGCAAATACTGGTCTGTGTGTGTGGATGTGTGGTACACCTCGGTTTGCAAATGTCCTCTATCAGAGACTGAGACCTCACAGTCCAAGAAAGCCAACTTGCCATTTTTTACATCTTCTCATGTGAACTTGATGTATTTATCCACAGAGTTGATGTGGTCAGTAAAATGTTGGACTTCCTGAGATTTAATTTTAACCCAGGTGTCGTCAACATACCTGAACCAATGACTTGGTGGTGTCCCTGAAAAGGACGTCAAGGCTCTCTTTTCTACCTCCTCCATGTACAGGTTGGCAACAATAGGAGAAACTGGAGACCCCATAGCACACCCATGTTTCTGCCTATAATATTGCTCCCCATATGTGAAGTAGGTTGACTGCAGGCACAGTTTCAAGAGTTGACACAGTTGTTCTGTGGAAAGCGTGGTCCTGCTGCTCAGAGTGGTGTCTGATTTTAATCTTAAACTGACCACCTCTACTGCATCATCAACAGGAATGCACGTAAAGAGTGATGTGACATCAAAAGAGACCATTGTTTCATCAGTCTCCATGATGACATCCTTCACCTTGTCCACAAAGTCCATGGTGTTCTGTATGTGGTGTTCTGAGCTGCCAACTAAAGGGATGAGTACAGATACCAGATATTTAGAAACATTGTAAGTGACAGAGTTAATCATGCTAATGATTGGGCTTAAAGATACACCTTGTTTGTGGATTTTAGGTAAACCATACAGACTAGGTGTGGCCTCCCCTGGGTACAGTCTGTGGTACAGAAAACGGTCAATAGCCTTGTCCTGTTCCAATATTTTCAGGCAATCTATTAACTTCTTCTTGTAACCACTTCCTGGATCTCTTTTCAGAGGTTCATAAGTGGTTAAGTCACTAAGGAGTGTCATAACTTTCTCATGATAGTCTTTCTGGTTCAAAATCACTGTGCACCTTCCTTTGTCTGCTGGGAGAATGATGATGTTTTTGTCCTTGCTAAGAGTGGTGAGTGCATCCCTCTCCTCTCTACTGATGTTGGAAGGTGGTGGTTTGGCATTGCTGAGGCAGGCTGAAACTTTGATTCTGAGTTGTTCTGCTTCACACTCTTTAATCTTGTTGTTGCAGATGGCTGAAATGTTTCTACATTTTTTTTTGTTTGTTTTTTTGTTTTGCTTTGTTTTGTTTTTTGAATGTCCAGAGGACCAGATTTAACTTTTTTTAGATTTTTCTACCTGGATTATTGAGCATGCATCAGGATATTATAATGTTTCTTATGCCATTAACTTGAAACCAAGTTTTTTTTATTTTATTTCTTGTTTCTTTTTTTTGAAAGAGGGTGTTAATGGCCACATTGAGGTGGTTAAAGGCCACTTCTGGCCCTTGGGCCTTATTTTTCTACGGTTATTCAACAAACATTTATTAGAAACATCAAATTCCCAATTTTAGATACACATGGCTCATAGTTTTTATCTTAAAAGCAACAAGTAGCTTCACTTGCAAAGTTTTTCCACTCACAAAGATGAAGTTAACAATTTTGCTTACACACGACGTTATTTATAATAAATAATAACTTAGGTTAAAAGTGGTAATAAATAAATGGTATTCAATAATTATTCAGTTTAAGGTGTTTTTTTTGTTGTTGTTGTTTTTGCAGATTCAGCTATTTTTTTTAAAAATGTTTTATTCTAATATGGTCACAGATCCATCTATGTAGTTTAATGTTCGCAAACAGAACCAAACAAACTCCATTAAACATTCCTTCAGCTCCTTCCCTCTGCGCTCGTGCTGTTGTGTTTAACATGGCGTCCTGCAGCCCTCTGCTTTTATACGCCGTTATTTTTGACCCGCTGTGCTTACGTAAAACAGATTCCTGCTCAGCCTACGTGCCAAATGGGAAATGGACTCTGCTTCCTGAGGAAAAACTTCACACTTGCTTCCTGTACTTTCTCTCTGCAGTCACCTTCAGACAAGCTGGAGGATACAGATTGACTCTTGGCCTTTCGCCCGAACACAAACTGTACTCCCTGTGTCATGCAGAAAACCGTGTCCATCCACGATCGAATCCCTGGCTCTGATGAGCCAAATGAAATGTTCTTACATAAAACACACATTAAAGTTATGAAGTAGTTAAAAGGTAATTTCACTAAGCTCCAACATTATAGTCAACTATCGTCCATCTTGTCCTTATCAAACTCATCTCATGTAAAAAATAATTTGAACAGAGACGCACACAAATAAAGAGTTGCTCTGGGATCAGGTTTCTCCTTTGTGACTTTATTTCCTTAAAACATAAAATAAAAACAAAAAAGAAAAGAAACAGGAAGTCTTCTATTTAAAGTGATTTTAAACAATTAGTTGAAATTAGAGTCGAGCAGACAGAGAAAACTATGAAATGGTGATTTACAAACACAAAAAGCTCTTTCATCCTTATTATTGTGGGCTTTATAAATATAGATTTACAACACCTAGCTTTTATTTAACAGTTTGATTTGATTATATTATTTAAAAAAATCTTATTTTTTCAAAGTAAGTGTTGGTGTTTTGTCATTCAAGGTTCTCTGTGTTAGAAGCAAACTAAGAGATATATTTTTAAACAGCTCAATACATTTGAAATGTAATTTTCTTTACATTACAAAAATAAAATGTTTCATTAATTTTTTTGTTGTTGTAAAAACTCCTAAAATTTTATGATTTCATTTTAAAACACATTTATTTTGTCATTTAATACATGTTGTCTTGGTTAAGAAAATATTTTAGAGTAGCGTTATTCTGTTGTTAGACCTGAGTCCGAGTTATTTTAT